ATTCTCAGCAATTTTCTTGATAGCGCTCTGCTTTCATCTTCGCCAAGAGGTCACACCTCGGTCCGACGACTTAATACCATTGCTTTCAAGCTTCATAGATGCAAATGCTGACTTTCATACCACAGGCTTGAACGTGTTATTCGAGATTTAGTCAGTGTCAAGGACTATCAGCGAGTTCATGATATTCTGGAGCAGCTTTGCAACGACTATGCGTACGCTGTGCATCAGCCTCATGCCAGAAATGGCGGCTTGATAGGCCTCGCTGCCGCCGCTATTGCCCTTGGTCCAGTACGTTTCAACCTACGGCATCTTCTCGTTTCAATGCTGGATGCCTTCTCAGAAGAGATCCAGTACCTCAGTCTTCTCCAAGAGTCTATATCTAACTTACAAGCCAGGAGCTACCCAGATATCTCGCCAAGATTGTTCCCCCTGTCCTGGCATGTTTCACCGACCAAGATGCAAGAGTAAGGTATTATGCTTGCGAGGCCATGTACAATATAGCCAAGGTTGCAAAGGGAGAAATATTGGTGTATTTTAATAGTATCTTTGATCAGCTTTGCAAGGTATGTTCTCCCCTCCGGGCTTCACATTTGATAAGTCAACCATACTGATATGCTGGGCTTGCCAGCTTGGGGCGGACTCGGAGCTGTCAGTCAAAAACGGAGCGGAACTGTTGGATCGACTTGTAAAAGATATTGTATCTGAGTCTGCTGCTTCATACGTCTCTATTCTCGAGGCACCGCCAGAGTTCGATGGCGATGATAAGGTATCGCTGGGCGAGAACTCTCACTTGCCGACGGCGTTCTCCCTACCTCGCTTCATTCCACTCCTGAAAGAGCGCATTTGGGTTATTAATCCCTTCACTCGGCAGTTCCTCGTGGGATGGATTACGTTGCTAGATTCTATACCCGACCTGGAGCTCGTCACATATCTCCCGGACTTCCTTGGAGGTCTTCTCAAGTTCCTTTCCGACCAGAATTCGGATGTGAGGGTTGCCACACAAACCTGCTTGGATAAGTTTTTGAACGAGATCAAGCGCATCGCGCGTATAAAGAAGGGCATCTTGGAAAGCAAACGGTCTAAAGAGGGCGCCAAGCGGAAACGACAAGACTCGATCGATAGCGAATCGATAAACCCTGACTTTGAGGAAGGAGATGAGCTCGACTCAGACGCCGCACTCGATGACGATGAAGATAGTGGAGAGGATTGGATTCCTGGACAAGATGTCGAGATAAATTACAAGGAGATTCTTCAGATACTTACTGCCACCCTCGATTCTCCGCTAGGTTTGTTATCCTTGAAGTTCCTTGGACGACGGCTAATATGACATCAGAGGAGGATTGTCTCCTCGAGTCACTAAGATGGGTTGTTGAATTTCTAGATATTTGCCCCGAAGAAGTCCTTCCCTTTACGCCCAAGATCCTCGCCCATATGCTCCCAGCTATGGCTAGCACCAAAGAAACCATTCATCAAGCAGCAACCCGGGTCAACACATGCCTGATGGACTATGTCGTTTCACTCTCAGACGACTCGGAGTTGAGTCAACCGCCACCTCCTGTTCAGCCGCCTCAACATCTCTCAACCTCTCGACTTCCAGTTCCCGGAGAAAAGGGGGCCGAGGGCAACAACAGCAACAGGGCATCTCTATCAAGCTCCAGAGACCTCGATCTCCGTAGTCCCACGCCTGCTCAAGGCCGCTCGATATCGACTCCCGCTGATATCAACATTACGCAGACACAAGCCGATCTGGACTATGCCGCCGCCGTCAACTCTCTGACTCTCCTCTTCCTCAACGACCATGAAGCGACCCGGGTGGCCGCCTTGACGTGGCTTATTATGCTGCACAGGAAAGCTCCCCGAAAGGTCCTCGCTTTCAATGATGGCACATTCCCAGCATTGCTGAAGACATTATCCGATCCCTCAGACGCCGTAGTAACCAAGGATCTTCAGCTTCTCTCACAAATCTCAAGGAATACAGAGGACGACTACTTTGCAAATTTCATGGTCAATCTCTTACAGCTTTTCTCAACAGATCGAAAGCTGCTTGAAACTCGAGGAAATCTCATCATTCGGCAACTGTGTTTAAGCCTGAGCCCGGAGAGGATTTACAGGACACTAGCAGACTGCATCGAGAAAGAGGAAGACGTCGAATTTGCAAGCATAATGGTGCAAAACCTTAACAACAACCTCATTACTGCTCCACAGCTAGCAGACGTTCGAAAAAGATTACGAAACCTTGAAACAAAGGTAGGGGAACGCCTCCTAGGCTACAATTCAAGACAAGAATGCTGACAACTTCAAGGATGGTCAAACGCTATTTGTGGCATTGTTTCGATCATGGTGCTATAATGCTGTCGCCACCTTCTCACTTTGCTTGCTCGCCCAGGCCTATGAGCAAGCTTACAACTTGCTGCAGATCTTGTAAGCCCGGGCGCAACAGAACATGCTACTCAAACTGACGCGCTTCAGCGGTGAATTGGACATGACAGTCAACATGCTCATACAAGTAGATAAGCTAGTACAGCTCATTGAGTCACCCGTCTTCACTTGTAAGCGTAGTCTCCATCATCCACTTGTCGTACACGAACTAACAACCCCGCCCAGACTTAAGACTACAACTCCTGGAACCTGAGAAGTACCCATACTTATACAAGTGCATGTATGGCATTCTCATGCTTCTACCGCAGTCCTCGGCATTTGCTGCGCTGAAGAACAGACTCAACAGCGTCAGCTCTATTGGTTATCTACATGCGGCACCTCGAACGTAAGTTGAAGATTACTTTACTGTGGGCGTGTTGGGCAAGGATTGCTTAGCTCTGAACTCCCAGTGGCATGTACTGGCTTTTGTGGCAAGCTAACCTGTGGACAGGGCTCCTCCAACTACAAGCAGCTCCAATTTTGACAGACCCAATCGACTCAAGAGCAGGGAAGAGGGGAATATACGATGGGTTGAACTCCTGGAAAAGTTCCGAAGTGTGCAGGAACGAGCTAGACGCGCGCAGCGTCAGAACAACATGGACGGTGACGAAGTCCCACCAATGGGGGTCAGTGAACTCCGCATTGGCGACGGAGCGGTAGACGTCAAAGGCAAGGAGACACGGGGTGTCGGCTTGCAAACGATTCCCCAGAAAGAGCCAGCACCCGCTCCCCCAGTGCCGGCCAAAAGAATCGGGCTGGGTAGACAGTTTGGAAGATTGGGTGGCGCCGTGGCAGGTAAAGGGCGGCGAAACCCATAGCGACTGATTTCAGTTTGGTTATATAGGTACTGAGCGTTATTTGTCTTGTGTGTCGACTTGATATGGAAGTAGAGTTGATAGTGTTCAGGTTCATTGATGTATAGCATCAGGCCAAGGATCAAATAAGACAAACTCAGCGTCGTCGCTTAACAGGACTTTCACGTTCCACTAAGCCTTCAAAGACAGCATCGCGCTGCGATTCTACGGAACGTAGCTGATCTCGAAGCTCTTCAAGTTCTGCTCTGGCCACATCTGGATTGCTAGGAAGACCTTGAAACGTGGCCAGCTGGAGGTCAAGCTCCTTCTTTCGTGACAACACTGACAAGTATGCCTGCTCGTCGCGAGCAAGGTCGGCAATGGTTGGGTGCGAGGTGTCGGCGGATGCAGCCAGAGCAGCAACCTTGTCTTGAAGCTCAGGTAGTTTGGCGGACAATGCCTTGACCTTGCGCTGCATGTCGAGGTTCTGTTTGGCCAAATGTGCCGGAGGCTGATAGTCGTCTCGCTGGAGCTCTTTGAGAAGTTCCTTTACACGAGCGGCTTCGTCGTCTATATGTTTATGGAGAACCTCGACGCGGGCCTTCATCTGTTCAGCGTCATGGATGCCTGCCTGAAGTTGGCACATGCGCTGACCTAGTGTGTCGGGCTCTGGGAAAGCGACTCCGAATTGGAGAGCCATATTGGCCATGGCATCAAGAGCGGTGTGGCCGTCGGTAGGCAAGTTGTGCTCTACGGCTTCAATGAGGCCTTCCCTGAGTGGCCGGCTGGTCTTGTCGATCTTCCTCTCGGAGTCGGTGAGCTCCTGCAAAGCAGTTGCTTCAGACTTGGCTACCAGATTACGCTCATCATCGGCAGCTTCGTTGACAGAGGCGAGGGCTAATAGGACTTTGAGAGTGTTGTTATTGCGCTCGAAAGACGGGACTGGTCGAGGATGAAATTTGGATGAGAGCCAGGCGTCAATATAGGACCAATCGCGGGCGGTGGAAGCCGCGATACGAGCAACCGACGGAGAGAAAATGGCCGAATCTTGGCTGAGGAGACGGTGATGCGCCATGGCTGGGTGCGTGAGAGGACAGGTCAATAAATGTCTCTGACGTGAATCAAGGAGCGGGTTTGGTGTGGAAGTCTCCAAGTTTGAGGTGCATCAACAAAAACAACCTAATCAATCAATCAATAGCGGTCGTGACGGTGACGCCACAGAACAAACAACCTCCACTGGCCCTAGCTTAGCTGCAGGGTCGAGTCCCTGTCAATTGATTGATTTGGAGGTGGGAACCCCTGCAAACTGCTGTTGCAGAAATGATTCGGTCCCTGAGTGTACTAAGTTATAGTGCCCGCCACTAATTCCTGCAGGAAGAACATGCTAGACATGTAGGCTCGGGCCCGAGCTTGGGGGGTTCCGTCTGGATTGGTAGACAAGTACTTGTGGCCACCTATGGCATTCCAGACTGATCCATGTACCTGGCTGACAGACGTGAACTCTCCCGGCTAAGTTGAGTGGTGTCGCCTTTTCCGGTTGTTGGCTTCTTTTAACAAGTTGAGTTGTCCTTTTTGTCCCTTGTTAATGCTAAACCCTCTGTCCCTATTCTTCTATACTCAAGCAGACTTTGCCATCGTTGCGTCGTGTACTCGTCGTCAACTATAGCACCCACTGAAGTGGATGCATTGCTGCTAGCATATTGCAATATATATACATCGCCTGCGATTTGCCCCTCGACCTATCGATAGTATACTCGGTTGGACTGGAACAAACTTGATCAAGATAAGATGCATCTCAATCTTGCTGGTCTGGCGGTGGCTGCTACGGCCTTCCTCGCAACTGCCAGCGCCCTTTCGCCGCAAGATATCCCGGCCGATCTCCCTGTTTCGAACCTCTTGACAAAGGCGCAGTCGCATCTGTCCCGCGGCGAGACCAGCGAAGCTCTCGTGTACTACGATGCTGCCATCGCCCGCGACCCGACGAACTACCTTTCCCTCTTTAAGCGGGCCACCGCATATCTCTCACTCGGCCGAACCTCGCAGGCAACTGACGATTTCAACAAAGTCCTGTCCCTCAAGCCTGGCTTTGAGGGAGCCCATCTTCAACTCGCCAGGCTTCGTGCCAAGGCTGGAGATTGGGATGCCGCAAAGGCCCAGTACGGTCTTGCTGGAAAGGCTCCCAAGTCGGCTGAGTTTGTCGAGCTGGAAGAGGCCAAGCTGGCAGCTCACCTAGCTGACATGGCTAGCAAGGGCGGGAAGTGGGAAGAGTGTGTCAGCCATGCCGGTACTGCAATCGTTGTCGCGAGTCGATCTCCTCATCTGCGTGAACTCCGAGCGCACTGTCGCTTCGAGCTCGGCGATGTCGAACTTGCTCTCAGCGATCTGCAACACGTCCTTCACATGAAGCCTGGCGACACTTCTCCCCATATCGTCATTTCGGCGACTTCGTTCTACGCTTTGGGTGACCTGGAGAATGGTATTGGACAAGTCAAGAAGTGTCTTCAGTCAGATCCTGATTCCAAGATCTGCAAGAAGTTGCACAAGCAGGAGAAAAAGGTCGAGAAAGCATACAAGAAGATCCAGGGACAACTCAGCCGAGGACAGCCTACCACAGCGGGCAGGGCATTGGTCGGTACTGCCGATGATTCTGGCTTGGTGCCTGATGTCCGAAATCAGGTGGAGGAGCTTAAGAAGAACAAGAGCATCCCTAAGACCGCCCGTATCCAGCTTCTGGAGAATTTGGTCGAGATGACTTGTCAAGCATACACCGAGGTGAGTTCTTCGGCCTGTACAATCCCTGCATATCACTAACTCTGCCGTAGTCAAGCCACAAAGAAGCCCCCAAGTACTGTGACGAGTCACTACAACTCAAACCTGACTCTTTCTGGGGTCTTCTACACAAGGGTAAGGCTCAACTCAAGAGTGAGCTTTACGACGCCGCCATTGCTTCCCTTGAGAAGGCCGCCGAGATCCGCCCGGATCTGAAGGAGAAGGTCAACCCAATTCTTAACAAGGCTCACATTGCCCTCAAGCGCAGCAAGACCAAGGACTACTACAAGGTGCTTGGTGTCGAGAACGACGCCGACGAGCGCCAAATCAAGTCGGCCTACCGCAAGCAATCAAAGATCTTCCACCCTGACAAGGCCGCCAAACAAGGTATCCCCAAGGAAGAGGCCGAGAAGAAGATGGCCAGCATCAACGAGGCATACGAAGTTCTTAGCGACCCCGAGCTACGTGCCCGTTTCGACCGTGGCGATGATCCCAACTCTCAAGAGAGGCCAAACCCTTTCCAGGGACAGGGCAACCCCTTCGGTGGTGGTGGTCATCCATTCATGTTCCAGCAAGGCGGTGGGGGTGGTGGTCCCAATATCAAGTTCCAGTTCGGTGGTCAACCATTTGGATTCTAGGAAGCACGCGACAGATTTTGAAGTTTTGCAAAAGATACTACTGAGGAGTTACATAGCGAAGGGGTCAACCCACAGAGACAGTTTTGCTTGATCGGGAGGGAGTCTTTGCTGGTATCTACATCTTTGCCCAGAGATCAAGAAGCGCGGGGCTGTCCTCCCAACAGGAGTATAGGGGTTAATGGCGTCGGAGTTTCCGCGGATCGCTCACTTTCGTCAAGAACAGTATATAGTGAGATCGTATACCTTGAGAATTATATGTTTATACCGCAAGTCAAATATTCAAGTCAAATCAATATGTCAATCTATTTGCCTAGTTTTTAGTAGCCAGATGAAGCGTGGTTGCTCGGCCTCGGTACAATGTCACCACCGCCGACGTCGGCGCTACAGCGACATCGCAATGCACACATGCATTGCCACCTTTGAGGAACAGAACAAACCTATTGCTCCAATTGGAATAGTCACAGCTTATGCGAGATCCAAGGTCATGAATGTGTGAATCAAGACCCGTTAGAAAAGGTATGATGCCAAAGCATATCCGCTTAGTATTTTGACATAAGTAACAACAGGCAACCTATCATAACACTCTTCCGCTGTCTAACTGCATGAATCAACACTAGCAATAACTCGTCCGTTTCCCATTCAGGTCGCCGCTCTCCGATTTTTTCGTTCGTAAGAAGTGATGATATTTCTTTTATGTACACGATCCGTCGCTTGCCTCGATCCTTATTTGACCGTCGTCCTTTGTGAGGTCGTGGTCATTTGCAAAGTCGGTAGAGTTCCTCCGTATAAAGGGCTCGAGCCGTATCGGGGAAGCGTCGAATCAAAAGGGTTTTGTTCAAGAGTATTTCGGATGTTGTCGTTTTAGCCGTCTCAGTCCCATATCCATGCTCTTTAAAGCGTCCTCGCTCCCAAAGCCATCTCTCATGAAGATAATCGCAGGGCGTCGAATATGGTTGCAAATCTATGCAGAGTTGAGGTCTGGTCATCCAAGTATTCCAAGACTTAGATGTGATGCTCAGGCGGCATCGTTGCGCTTGATGAAGTAGGACCTGGTTAGGTTTCAACATTAGCTTCGGTTACCAATTTGATTTAGCTATGCCACATACTTTGAAAACTCATATGCCGACCAGCAGATGGCTGTGCTGGGCATTGTGGTAACAATGCGAGGTCGCACACCCTTGAAGAAGCCTCTGACACCGGCTCTTCGATATAATAGGCGACAGCCTCCGATAAAACTGTTGACGCTTCTCACTTCGGGGTCAGTGGAGGTTCCGCGAGTCTGGAGCATGGTCTTGATGACATCCATGGGAGTGGTAAGACCAGCAGCAAAGCCACCAGCAACAGCACCGGCCAAACAATGTGTCAAGGGGTCGTAGTTCTTTGCGGGGTTCATGGCGGTAGAAATAGACTCGTATGCGAGGAACTGTAGAGCTGTAAAGGGGACTGTCATGGACAGTGTCGTAGGGTACGAGATATAGAAAGCGCCCAGGCCCTCGGACTTGTAGACATACTTGGCGCAGTCCAGCATGGATCGGTACATCTTGCTCGAATTTTGAATCTGCATGCGCTGCTTGATGACTGCAACAGGTTGTCAGCGGTCATGTTCTAGGTGCTCGAAAGGTTGCGGCGTAGGGAGCGTACCATCGAAAGGGTTCATGAACGCGTCGCTAGCAATAGTGGCAGCGGCACCACTGGTGGCTGCGGAAATTTAGTCAGTAGCTGTCAGATCGCAAACTGAGCAGAAATTGTATATTTACCAGCAGCGAGGGGATGGTGTACACCGGCCTGGTTACCGCCCATGGCATGTTTGACTGCTTCATATGTTGCAAAATAGACGGCATGCGCAGGACCTAAGTGGTTTTAGCAACGGTTAACAGGCCTGGCCACGACGTGGTTTACATACCAGCTCCAACTATGACACTAGACATGCCGCGCCATAAGCTGAGGAATCCCTCGGTGCGGGCAATTTGAACGGTATTACGAATGACACCCGAGTAGGCCGGTGTGGTGCTGGGGTTGAGGATTTGCATTCTGGTCTAAGAATTGTGTCAGACTCGAGATCGACAAAGCATGCACGAACGCGTAGAGAGAGTGCAGGTTAGAAGCATACCTTGATTGCATCAATGGGATACATGGCAGTGTGCTCCTGCAGGAAGACGCAAAATTAGCCCGGTATAACTCGTATTGCTTGTCGGAGGGTTTTCATACTGCTATGCCGGCAAAGGCGCCTGCTGCCATGTTCTGCAGCAGGGAGAAGTTGGGCGGAAGAGATTCATAGCTGTGCGAAAATCAGTCAATTTCGCGGCCCTGGGGTGTATGTGTCCATCTGTCAGAGGATGTTGAGTTGTGCTCACTCGTATTCTTCGACTGGGTCTGCACTTGGCTGGGCCATGGCGGCCACAGCTTCCGATGCTCCGCCGAAAGGCTTGGTCTCGAGGGCCGCCAGGTTGGCGACTGGAGGAGGTATCGAGGCAATTACTGCTATAAAAGTGACGGCGAGCGATATGTGCCGTGGATGGAGTCGGCTATGTCGTGTACGGGGGCTGCAGGAGGCTCAAGATACAAGATATGGAGTTGCGCCTGAGGATGGTCGCTAAAACGATGACGATGTCGAAGTTGAGAAAAGGCCTAGGTACTAAGTTCGGGGCGAAAAATAAGGCCTCGACTTGCTGGAGCTGAAAAGACCGTGCAAAGTGGTTGCTATGTCCGAGCCCTGTTCTCGATTCGCCTCGGTCTATTCGAATACACCGATCAATGAATGGTAAGTCTTGTCGCCGGCAGTATAAAGGTGTAAGAAATGCAAGAAAAAAGTCCAAAGCTGAGCGGAGGCGATGGAGTAAAAAAAGTAGTTCAGAGGCTGGTGGTGGTGTTGTTCTACTATTCTACCTTACCTACCTACCTAGTCTGAATTGGACAGCCCGGGAAAATCTCCAGGCCAGGTTAAGTGCCTGTAGGCTCTGGGAGCTACCCTTTGTCCAGGGCAGTCCCATAGTTACTGGCTACCTAGATTTTTTTCTTTTTCTTTTTTCTTTTTTCCTGATGAGACAGCTCCGTTTACGGCCTCGGAGGCCGGACGGGAGCTATGGCAAGTATCCTTCTGCTGCAAGCTACTAACCTAGGTACCTACGTCTGTCCACATACACGTCTTCTCTTTTACCCTCCCCTCCACTCCCATTCCCCCTCCTCTAGGGCCTCTATCGTTTGAACTAGCATGGTTCAGGGAGCTCGGCGCGTCGGCTCAGATAACAATGGACTAAGCTACGTTAGCAAACAGCGAGGTATTTTCCATTGCTAAATTGTGAGGCGAGCCATTTCTCCGCCATCTCCTGTTGCGCTTATATGCCCGCGGAAGTGCAGTCATATTCATTATCAGTTTATCCACCGCCGGAGCAGTAACGATTGCCAGATGGCGGACTTGGCCCTAATATCACAAGTTCATCTTTACTGCAATTACCTTACCCACGAATGCTGGCCTTGATACGCAACTGTGAGCTGCGAATTGAAGCCTGACATATTCGCCAATACTCTGTTTTCTGATTGTATGTATTCGTACCTATCCGTACATTTATGTGTCTCAGCTCAGCGCCCATTGGCGCCCAATAATAGAAGGCGTGGAAGGACACGCAGAGGTACAGCACATACAAGTAGCAAGGCCATCTGCACTATCCGTACTCCGTAGACAAGGTAGATAGATGCTCATCTCTGTACGTAAACTGGCCAATTTGCTGATTTGCAGAGTGGATCAGCGTCACCTCATATCATATCACAATCCCTGTAACCGTCTCGTCGGGTTTGGAATCAAGATCAAGATCAGTACATATCGATCTTTACTAGGTAGCTTGCACGAATAAGTTAGCTGCCGAGGTTAACAGCATGCTGTTGCGAGAAATATGAATATCGAGCGCGAACACGATGCAGAGGAATGTCTTACATAGTAATACCAAGGGAGTCATATTCCCTTCTTATTTGATTCTTCATCCATATTCAATGCCTACTACTAACTTTGTACTGTAGATATGAGGCCAACTCAGTGGCTGGATCAACTCCACAAGAGACAGAGCACCCGTGACTAACATCCATGGAGGAGGCATCGTGACCACGCGGTGTATCTAATCCATCCATCCATTCATGCATTCATATCTAGGTCTCAATTCAAGTGCTTCCGATGTTCAGGGGAGGGAAAGCGTAGGAAGCTTAGAAGCTCACATTAGCACGGGCAGGCGACGTTAATCAGGCTTGCTTTTGGTACTGATAAGATGAGATTAGAAGATATTTAAATAATTTGGATATTCACTCATGCACACAGACACAGACATCAGGGTGGGAGTTGGACTTGCACCAGTCGAATCTCACCTTTCACCGAATCATGAGCCCAGTTGCAACCCAGGGATCAGGGCATTACAGGGGGTCTCACACCTTGGAATTAGGTTATCAATCAGTTCGGGGACCCAATTCTCTCTAATCAATCAGTCCTCGACCTCAAGCTGAATACCCACATTGGAGTTCCATGGCACAGGCTCGTCTCGTCTGCAAAATGGCCATCAGCCAAGCAGTAGGGGTTTGGAGTGACCCAGTCACTCGAGATTGACGAATACGCATTGCAACATTGATTGATGGTCTTTGTTTGACTCTCGCTTAACTATCAGACACCTGAAGTTACAGCTCGTGTGTGTTTGCATCTGGCTCATCTGATCTGGTCTGTAAGCTCCCTCTTAATGTCATCAGTATCACACCGTCTTCTAAATCTATCCTCTCCCGTTTCCTCCGTTTGCTACCTATCGTATGTAGTCTCTGTGCAAGAAACTTTCCGTTGACTGTGTTTTGTCTATATGTACAAACGGCCTCGGTATTATCATCATACGACTCGTCGTTACGAGACACATGTCACGACCTCGGATTTATCACCCCAAATCCGATGGTCTCGTTGGAATTCGTTTGCCTCTCGTATAGACCTACGAGTAGCAGACCAGTCTATACAGTTTCCAAGAGCTCAATAATGGGTACAATGCTTCAATCTAAATATAGTGGACTTATTCATTTATACCCAAGAGTCTACTTCTGCCACCGAGTACACTGACCGACGCTCCGATGCCAATCCTTCACTACCAGTCACAAGACAGATAGTTTCAATAAACAAAAACCCAATCTATGCAAAGCGCCAATAAAATCCACCTCCATTTTCCAAGGAGTAAGGTATTCCAGTGAGATAACTTCCAGTATGCGCCTTGACGCCATGCGGTTCATCCAAAATGGAAAATAAATGAATGAATGAAACCCCGGAGAGATGTTCTATATCAGACCATGCCCCCACCGCGCCGGGATCGCTGCGTTTGCTGAAGCTGGTATATCATACCCAATACGCCTTCACCAGGATCCTCTGTATTAGCTGCACTGTTCTCCCGGGTCACCCCTTTCGCGGGAGACGTTTCCCAGGTCGATTCACCTAGTTCCCCCCCTGGCTCGTACGGTTCGTCATCTTCCCCAGCTCGTCTCATCGCGCTATCTTCAGCTTCTTCAGTTATCTGGCTTTCCCCGCGGAATCCTCGCGGATACCTTGACCAATGAAGACTACGTGCACCCATGTTCACCCCAGCAGGTTGGTGATGTTGATCTAGCAGGATAGAAGCCATCGGAGAAGGCTGTGGCATTGGTACCGTACGTGGACCTCGTCCACCGGGGGCTCTACTTCTGGCACGTCCCGTTTCCGCCCGACCAATATGAGAACCCTGCATGTCTGCTCCTAATGATGGAGAAGCAAGTCCTGGGAAAGCTGGAGGTGGGTGAAAGGCTGGTTTTCCTCCAAACGGTGTATGGCCAGGGATGCCAGTCTTGGGGTTTGTGACGTAGTTATCAAGGAACCCAAAGTAAGATGCGGCCATCTTGTTGTGCTTCGTTGAGTAGTAGTCCTCACGAACATCCGGTCGTTGCCCCTGATGGCCTGTATTCCCTGGTCCTTTCTGAAAGTCGAATACCGCAAAGGAGCAGACATAGCCGAGTCCGTCAACGTGGATTGTGAATTCGCGGAAGAAATCAACGATCTGGTCACTGCATTTAGGCAGTGAAAACAAAAGCAACATAGGTGTCGTGACTATACCCATCACCTCCTCGAGAAAGATGACCACTTTCATCTTGTAAAGCTCTGCAAATTCTTGTTTAACCTCGAAGCTGTGAAGCTTGTTTTTCCAGTGATCGGGCATGTAGTGTGTGTACTCAATGACATTCATCAAGGCATATTCGGGATTGAACACCAATGTCTCTTCAGACACCATTCCTCGGGTGATAGCCCAAATGGCACCAAAAATTCCGAGATAGAATAGGACTGGTCTGTCTTTGGTGATTTCGAAGTTAATAAAAAGCTCCGAGTCAAGAATAGAGCCCACGGCGAGGATGGCCGTAATTGCGCCTGTCATGAAGGCGATGGTTCGCGCAATATCTTCAGTCATCCTCTTCGGGAACTGATCGATATACCGAGTGGCGAATGGATAAGACATATGCAGCCTTTCGTAGAATATATGTGGCAGTTCGTTGAACTCGCGGAATTTCCATTCTGCAAGAGAAGTGTACTTGCGCGCTGCAGCTTGCTTGGGATCCTTTGTGTACTCCTGTAAAGGAATTAGCTTTCAAAGAACAGAGTGCCTGGGCTCAACTACTGACATAATAGTAAGTAAAGAAGTAAACAATGACAACATATGCAAGCACAACAGGCGCAAAAATCAGGTTGAGGAACCCCGCGAACATCAACCGCTGCTTCAGTTTCTGGCTCAAGAGGCGTCTGCGATCTGGGCGCAAAAAGTCCTGCTGAACTTGGCCCAACTCGTTAAAGGCCATATCAAGGATGCAGTAATGAAGATACCATTCCATTGTCTTTGAAAATAGCTGGCGGCCGCGAAGAAACGGAACTGGCAAAGACAAGTTCAGGACGTCCTTGTTGATCATCGCAATGAGGTAATTCTCTTTACGCATGAGTCGATTAGCAATATCGTGTGCATCAAGCCGTTCTTTCGACTGGCTGCCAATGAACTGTCTTAGTTTCGGTGTGATGTTTGTTGCAGTCTTCGGGTTCTGTTCACGCAGAGCCATAATACGAGCCACAATATCCTGCCACGAAACAGTTTGCATGTCTTGTTCTGGGATATCCAGCAAGTAAATGTAGAAGTCCCTGATGTAGAGGAGGCGGCGAATCTCCACAAAGTATTGTACACACTTCCAGATGAAGAAGAAGGTGTAAAGCCAAATCGCCAGGTTCCAGAGGCCGGACATTTTGCGTGTGCATTGGGGAACTACAACCTCATGTAAGGACTTGCTGTGTGGAATCTTTGAATAGTCAATGCATTGACATAGGAAGGTGAGCAACACCGCGACGAAAAGTGTCTCCCTGAAGCACCGATTAGC